CATAGGTTGTATTTCATGATAAAGATCGATAAGTATTGGTTTTTCATAAAATGAACATCAGCAAAGACGGAGGGGTTTCCCCATCGAAAGACGAGGTTCAATGTAGTTACACTTTCCAGAACCGTATGTAGACCGGCGAAACGCTCATACTTAACTATTATACAGTAATAAAAAGTAAACTGGGAACAAATCGGAAATGATGAGCTATTAAAAGTAACAACTGGATCAAATATCACTCCAAACGCAAAGAGACCACCTCTACAATTCGTCATGGCTGGGAATCTGTCACTTTTGGAACAGCTCGTTCAAGAGGCATATTTGCTTCTCACTAGGCAATGGAAAGGTACGATGTTTTGTTAAAAATACAAACTGCTCAGTATTTGGTTACTGAATCATTGTTCTCATTAAATATTCTGATCTCCATAATCACCTATAAAAAATTGGCTGCGTACGTACACAACCCAAGACATTAGTCTGCCTGATCAATCGGATTTTTCAGAAGGTTGACCACTTCTCTTCTATTTCTAGGCCTACTTCATGGTTTTTATCAACCGAACAAAAATAGTTTTTCTATCAGCCCTCTATTTCTTTTATAATTTTTTATCAGGCTCACAAACTTTATTGTTTCAACAATTTGATTTTTCTCGAACAATCTCGCAAGTAGATGAGCTGTTGTGCAACCGGTAGGAAAACAGGACCTGTGACTATGAACTCCAATCATATTGACAGGATTAAAGTTATTTTATACTAATTAATTGGAATTCGATATTGTCTTTTTTTCGATAAACATTTTTGAACAGTCATAGCACATTTTCGTTTCGTTTCACATCAATGATTATTTCCCTTTGTTGAGTTTAACGCGGAGGAGGTGAAACACCCCCTTCCCCCGTGAGAAGGTACACACATATAGCGAGAATTGCAATTTTGAACGACAAGACCGGCATTTTCCCCCCATTCAATTGAACAGTCAAGTATCACTTTTCGGATACGGTAGTGATTCATCCGTATGATTGTTGACAACGGCAGTCGCCTCCTTTCCATGGACCTGTTCGCATGAAATTCAAGTCAGTGTCATCTGATAGCATTTCGTGGCTCTAACTTCCACCTGTACCGTACCTTTTCCGGCATTACACATCTATATAGTCCTTACTGGGTCGTTGCAGGACCTACGCGAGCGATTTTCAGGAGCGCTGCTTACTAGATTTCTTTTTTTCACTCAAAATCTCACCATTTTTTCCTGAAAATGGTTTTTTTATTATTGCCGATTGACCATTTTCTTTGGTCTCTCAACTACTCTTGTGCTCCGAAGTAATCTAAAAGTTACTCGCCATAGTTTTTTGCTCAACAGGGTGGTTTGAACGTTCTGCCGGTGATAAGGGGCTCAGAAAGAACTGACGCAGCAAAGGCGATTACGAATTTTCGATGACGCAGGCGACACAATTGCCCGATTTTTTCCCATTTCCCAGATAGGATTGCATTCCTGGGATGACAAAGGCATTTTGTTGCCATGTTTCCGAACCAGTAATGATAATGGCATGTCATAAACAGGCTTCTTCAACGGAACCTTATCACCCATTCACTACCTATTTAAGTTCATGTTCGGGAAGAAAATGACAGACAGCAGTCACTCCCTAGCCGTTCAGTTCCCGTTCATTACAATTCCCCAGTCCAGTGGTGTGGACAACTGTTGCCAGTTACTGCTACTACGGGTGGATGGCTGTGACCTTTCATTTTCAAACGGGGATGACTCACCCACATGGCCTCTGTGTCTGTTCGTTGACGGTTTCTTTTAGCCACTCAACCCCTTTTCGACAACCTTCCATTAGTCCTGCTCTGACACCCAGATGAGGTCCAGTGGGCCGATCGTTCTTTATGGGGTGTTTCTTGGTGTGCTTGCCATCCATTCGCAGCTCCTATTGAAATTCCATTTATTGGTGACGCTCCTCGACGATTTTTTTTTCAATTTTATGTGGGAATTTCCTAGACCGAGTGTCTTTTTTTTAGTCATTTCTGGATCCGAAGATTTTTGCCCATTCTTCTTGAACCCAAGCAGCCCCAGCTGGACCCATAGACAATTTCTGGTTTTAGTAGTAATGATTGTAACGACTGATACCAAAGTACGAATTTTTTGATAGCGCTCCAACAGTCATGTGCTGCTTCGTTTTCTGTTGTCTTACAAATATTTTGAGAGGTTTCCATCCGCTCGGTCGGCCTAGAGTAACATAGAAATCAATATAAAAAACATTAAAAAACACAAAAAAAGCTAGTCGTTGTCCTCCTCCTCCCTCGGCGGGCGATTTTCTTGAAATTTTTTTATTGTTTTGCTCGAATATGAAAAATACCCCCCCCCCCATAGGCTTCTACAGGAGTTCCTACATGGGAACGACTGGTTCAAACTGATAAAGTACAATTTCTGCCACTACACACCGCGTCGAATGATTTACTCTAAACAGCTAAATATCAAAGCATCCCTAAGAGTGTTTTGAGGGATGTTGAAAGTGGACGAGTTTTCCCGGGCAGCCAGTCCCAATACAATTTTACAGTAACTCGAGAATAGACTAGTTCTCTAGAGCTCAGTGCTTGTTGCTTGATAAATCAAAGTAGCCTTTCAACATCGTACCCATCGATAAAAATACTGGACTAGAACTAATACGAGTCATTCAACCACTGTTGTAACTGGTTTTTTAGCGGCTTTGTTGCATTAGCGAAGGGGCGTGGTTCGTGTTTGGGCGTGGTTTACCACGGACTATGGGTACATTGAACTCTTTCGATCTTTTATTCCTAAAGGAATGATTCTGATTCGTCGTGACTTCTTTTAATGAATTACCGTTTCCTCTTCATTCAGATTACCTATTGCAAAGTACTTTCTATCCAGTGCTCAGTAATTATACAGTACAACTTCTCACAGCTGAAAATTTTGAGGAAGTTCAGTGAAAGGCCAAAGTTTATGTGGGCAAAGTCGTTCACCCGCATAAATGTACGTACACTTTGCAAGGCCATCTGTGCGACACATCCATTCATCACTACACTTATCGATTTCCTCGTTTGTGATTTCTTTTTTTTTTCTTTTTGGTTTTTTCCTACCTCATTTGTCGACAACTGTCCGAGTGATAATGAGAAGGGAAGGTTTCTTCGGCTATCTGTCCTGCTATACTTTATTTTCCCCATTTCTCCTAGCATGTACTATGTTCGGGAACATTAAAGAATGCAGAACATTAAAGAACATGCCTTACAGCAGATACAAAAAACTTTTTGAGACTGTAAAAATTATGTATTTGTAAGTAACAACTGGTATTCTCACGGCCCAGGGTCCCCAAAGATGTGAAAATGGTAACATTCCATTGCTTTTTGTGATAAAATAGTAATAAAATT